GTGGCCCACATGCAGTCGGTTTCTTGCATCTAGCTGTTAATTTTCATCCCATCCGTATTATTTCACTGCGCTTCTTTGGTGATCTCATTTTTCTTGTATTCTATCTTCTTTCGCTCTTTTTTCTCCATTGCTATTTTTTACTTCTTATTCTGGCGGCGTGAGTGGTAGTAACTGGATCCGCCACACTTCGGTGCGCGGATCATATTTGTTCATCTGAACTGGACTGTCTGTGTTAGGCTTATAACCGTTCTGAGATCATGTTGATGATGATGATGATGATGATGATGATGATGAGACGATGGCAGGGCATACTGTTCTTCTACGACGGAGAGAGTACGTTCATTTTCACTTTCCAGGTTGCCAATTAGGAGTGTCATGGTTGACCAATGAAAACAAACCTCTGACCAGGGTCACACTGCCGCATTGCCTGCTCGCAGCTCACTTTTATTCCTCCTGTTTCTTCGCACAAGTTCCTATCTGGTTGTTCACCGAGTAGTTGGGCTTCAGATGTTCAAAATATCATAAAGTCTCGTTCAACTTATGTCCACGGCTGTGCTGGTAATCATCATCTCTTCTAGTAGACTGATGGAACAATCAACAAGAAGATGGCAAAGAACTCCAATATCAACATGGGGTATACGTTGCACTATTAAAGGTGTGGAAAGTTATTTAAGGATGTTCAAGTAATGTCCTCTTACCAAGCTTATGTCATTATCCGGGTCAACGCGAAACTATGTTCCCGAAAATCAGCATGAAACCGGAGTTTGTGGACACAATGGAGCCTTATCCAACCAAATTTGAACCACTGAAGCATTAAAACATGCAAATTAATTTGCCAAAAATGATGGATAATACAAGTAAAGATAATGCGATTAATCTTGTTATAATATTGCATCATCTATTTTGTGTTTCCTAACGAAATGCTTAAGCGTTTCAAAACTACACGTTCTTTTCGCATCACTTCGTTTACAGTTACGACTGTGCTACCGGTGCCTGCGCCCCTCAATATCGCACGTATGCCCTTCTGCTGTGAGGGTCAGAGACAGAGCAATTCCAATGCTGTCTCCGTGTCCTTTAAAAACGTGCTACTTAACACATCAAGAGTCCGCTTGTCCACAAAATAGGGTTTGCGTCTTCTAGCTGGTGTTTTTTGACGAGCCTGAGGGGTCCCGGATCCTTTTGAACATACGCACTCAACCTACGCTGTTTGTCTCAGACATTCACAATATCTGTTGACGGTCTAGCTTGATGTTCCTCATTAGCCGAGGTTGAGCCTGATATTACCGCACCGCAGTGACGATGTTTGGTTGCCCTGTACGTGAATACATCAAGATTCTTGCCTTACCAACTCCTAACTTGTTTGCTCTACATATTTGTTGTTAGTAGAAGCAATGAATCCATAAGTCCAGTCCTGTCCTCTGCAACGTTCGTAACTTGCATTTTAGTTGAGGACGAGTTTCATTACATGGCTAGCGCAGCACACGACAATGTCAAACCATCTGATAAGTGTACTACACTACCAGTTACATTTGACAGCGTGTGTTGTACACAGTATCGACTGTTCTTGCTCGTGAACTGTCAATCTCCATGTTTTCGTCGTGAACACCTTTTTGAAGTGGACACTTTTGATAACCTTCCGGAGTATGGCGCTTGTTTATAATCGGCTGTCTCATTCACAGAGTTCTGGTGAATCCCTAAACTGATTTACTGTCTTTTTACCCACTGGTTTCATCGTCCGCACTGAGTTGGTGCGGATAGCATCAACGCTACATAACTCATGCTGTGCATTTCTCATGGAAATCTGTCTACTTGTCTGTCGGTGCATTTGTTGGCTGGGTTCTGCATCACTTGAAACACGCAGTCTTAGTTCACTTTCAATCATACCGACTACAACGAAACTTCCGGAGACTTCAGGGTCACCGTCTCATGGTTCCTCAATGCTCTCTGGATAGGAGTGTTGCCCTTTGAACGGTAGACAAACCACTCCTTCCCTGTTTGGAGCAGCAAGCTTATTTCCAGCTGCCTTGACGCGATCTCTGCGATTTGCTTCACGCGTCATTTCACCGGATCAAAGTGCTCTGAGATTCGTACATCTGTATGGCATAATCTACAATTTGCTGCCCACCTCGGCAACCCCCAGATGACATTTTGTCCTCCTGCACTGCAGACTGAATACTCATGCGCGTATGAAGAAGCTTGCTCAGTACACTTTGTCCGCAGTTGTAAAGGATGCTGCTCAACTTCCACTGCATGAGCTCGTTTTCGTTGTCTCCACTGTAGGGAAGTTCCTCTTTGAACTGCTTCTCTTTTTCGACGACTGTGGCTTTTATTCCAACTAACTGACAGTTTTCGAGTTTTCTTCTGGCCGCATATGTGTCATGCTGCTGGCCAGATGAATCGCTTTTCTAATCCGTTTATTGCACCACATCAGAGACAATGGACCCAATACTATCTGCTCCTATAGATTAGGCGCCCTCAAGAACAGTGCATATTTGTCTCCTGTCTCTGAGTTACTACCTCGTACAGTTGCTTGGGCTGAAGCAGTCATAGCGAATACATTTCCCATGATCCACACCTGTGATGGAGGTACACATAGTCAGTGCGCAGCATCATATCTATGATTGGCGGCATCCGGTCCCGAATTTGGCTGTCACTGTGGCCTCCATAGAACAGCCACAAGGTGCCTGCGCCTACAGAGGGACCATGCGTGGCTTGTGGTGCACCACCCACCCCATATTTAGTGTGAACCCGATGTAATGAGATCGGGAGGCAAATGGATGGGAGCCACGTTTCATCAACGGAGCCGGCCCACACTCCTTCAACAAGCGCGTTTCGGGCTTAATTATGGGACCCATTGTCGACGAGGAGTGTTATTCACTTGAACTGACCCGCATCGCACATGTGTTGAGCCTTTGTAAATTCTTCTGAGATCGATTGTGCTTGATAGTCGCTATAGAGATCCGTTATCCTCAAACAAACTCCGTTAAATTCTGATCCTTTACCTTACCTTTTGCTCACCTTGTTAACTGTATCAGCAGCTGTAGGTTAGTGGTCACTGAAATTGGTTGATTTGCTGCGGGGACTCTAACGATGTTTATTATTCTGAGACGCATTTGGCGCGCGGAAGTGCCTTCCTTTACTACTGAACGCCCCGGTCGCAGAACCGCCAGCTGTGAAACTTGGCCCCCGAGGACCTGAGACTCCTTCAGATCATTGACCGCGCTTACTTGCAGGTGTTTTGGGTGTCAGGTAATAGCGAATTGTCCGGAAAGTTAGACTACGCAGTAGAGTATCGGTTGATAATGACTACCTCGATTTGTTAATTCAGTAACTAACAAAACCGAATGGTTTGCATTGGCTTGGGCATGTGCCACGTATATCAACCCCCCGCTCGCTAGAGAGCGCATTCCAGGTCCCAGGAGACTATCATTGATGCAGTACAATGAAATGGTGCCTCTTACTACCGCGTTGAGCGCTGCTGGCCACTTACATTCCGGAGGGGGTCCACACGATCCACTCTGTGCACGCCTCGTGGCCGTACATGACATGATTTGGAACTGTTACCGATGGCGAATCTGTCGCAGCTTCCTAGCCGGACTGCTCGCCTGACGCGACTGCGGCGCTAGTTCGTCTGGAGCAAGCTCGATGATGTAGCAGAACAGCAGTTACCATTTACTCTGCTTCACATGATATCTAGCTGTTTTTCTTCATCATGTATGCACTATGCATCAGCAGTTCGCCGGTACGTAGTACCGACGCTTCGCTGCCGCGCAAGAACCACGGTTCGCAGTTTGGCTAAGGATACTGCGAAGTTCGCCCTGCCCCTCGCAGGTTCGAACCCGCGCCGCAGGATTACAAGACATGCTCGTTACCTCTAGGCTACGGGCCGGCTCAAGAGGTGGTGCTAGTAAGCAGCAGTTTACTTGCCCTTGAATGTGTTCGCTGCCGCTTCATTAGCTTTCCCTTCATAAGCCTCCTCATTTCTCATCTGTGGTTATACTGCAACGAACGGTTTTCTAGAGTGCCCACGCGTTGCTATTGTTAATGTTTCCAATGTTGACTCACCTTGTTCATTATGTTACTCGCGCTCAGCGGTCTGTTACCGCATACCTCCATTCGCTACGTCAGCCGTTAGAAGCACACAATTTGGAATCACTTCATAAGGATGTCAACTGACATTTTTGGGATGATCACTTGGTCATTAGACCCATGCTAGAGTACGTTTCGCCCGCCTACTTTCCGATTACCCGAGGCGAGGCACAACAGATCGAACAGGTCCAACGCGTTGCTACCAGGCTCGTCCCGAGTTTACATGGCTTGGGGCATGAAGACGGGTGCGAGAGACTAGGACTCTACATCTTGTCCTACCTTCGGGTGGGAGTCGATCTCATTATGACCGACCGTATTCTACATTTCGCTGACTTTCCCCTGCTGTGACCAATGCTGCACTTACGAGGACCATGCAGCACACGGTGACACAGATCCAAACTTGTGCTGCCGGAGGTGAAGCGAGTTCCCCACCCACTGTGCTTCGAACGGAGAGTGGTAAATATTTGGAACAGTTTGCCTGAACATGTGATGGAGGCAACATCTGTTCAGCAGTTCAAAACGTTGTTAAACTTATATTTTACCACTATTCGATTGGGGGGCACGATTGCACACTTACGATGACATGTCACCTTTGTGAGTCCTGCAATACCGTGAGTCAGATATTTTAAATGTTACTTGCGAACGATACCGAAATTCACGAGTGACAATTTTTAGACCGTTTTTCACTATATTTCGGAGGAGCTGTACAAAATTTCTTTCTACTTGCTCCAAAATGAGTATTCAGTTATCGTACGGAATGCATTCTGGTCGTCAGAGCTTACGCCATATTGGGATAGAACACATTGATAGTTGCATCCTTCGTTCTTTTATCTATTGTTTCTCGCAGGTTTGTCTATCTTTGGCATATTTTTGGTTTCGGTCTCAATTCGAAATTTTTACATCCTTTGTAGGCTCTTCCCTATCCATTCCCGCCCGACTCGATCTCGGCGCATCAAACCAACATGTTGGGCCTGTCGCTGGCTCCCAGCCCTTGTTAATCCCGCCGTCCGATTCGACCTCTGTCTCGTCCACACCCGGTTCCACTCCCTTAGACAGCACGTTGGTGAATTCGCAACACTCAGACACCCCGTCCAGATTTCCACAGGACACTTTCTCCCTTCCTGCTGATCTTCTCGGAGATGATGAACTACCTCACTCCCCTTGTACCGTGCTGGCTGATCGTGTGGAAATCGAACTTCCCAATCCTGCCTCTCTTGACACGTTCGATAATTCCTTGTGCCACTCCCTTCCTCTTCCCGCACACTATTCCGCCCGGCGCCGTCGCGAAATCCCACGTCCTGGTGTACGTCCACCTAACCCGGACTATTTTGCCACTGATAGCGGGTTGTTACTACCGTCACGACGGCGGAAGCTTCGCCCGGTGGCAGATTACATTTTCTCCCCTTCCCACGTACGCATGCCATTTGGAGCTGCTGGAAACTCAGAGATGTCCAGCGCGTATGCCTCCAACCCCGATGTGATACCAGAACTGCAGGCGGAGCAGGATCCCATGAGCACCAATCAACCAAACGGCGCGTCGCTCATTAGCTGCGTGTCCACTGCCGGGGACGGTCACTCTTCCGGCTACCAGTCACATTCACGCCAGTCTAGTTTGGAGTCCCAGGCAATGGCTATTCATTGTGCCCCTTCAACGTGAGTCACTTTGTGTGTTTGTGTATGGCGCTCATTCCTTGTCCGTGGTTCTCTGGCCTTCTTCGATTACTGAAACACATTGGATCTCTTTCTCTTGCCTCACACCTCGATCTATCTATTGACCAGTCTATGTACAGATATTGTGCCATCGAAACCATGGCGAAATAGGAAAGCAACATTATAATAAAAGAATAGAGAAAACAAAATTTTTTGTCCATTTCCTACTCACCGCTTTTTGGATGTTTTTTATTGGGGAAAGAGAGGATCGCCGCAACAATCAGGGATACTCCACCGCCACTATGTTCACTTTTGAGCCATGACTTCCAAGGTTTCCAACCAGCAGCACTCAGCATCTTTGGGACTCCATCCACGGAGTCAAGAAGAACCAACCGAACCCAGCTGTTTTGCCAGCTTTTTCATCCTGCTTCTCCAAGTTGCAGACTATCCATTACGCCACCTCACATCACGTGATAGTAAAAACATTAGGACATTTCGGGAACATAGCTGGTACCGACCGGAGTATTACTCGGCACATATGGACCCGGCCGGTTAGCCGCTGCTGTTTGTGACCGAACCATCGGCCTCATTTATCGCTCATGGACTTGCTTGCGGGACAGAGGCCCCCAGATTAGGCAGAAGCACGCAAGTTTTCACCCAGGACCGAGCTGTGTAGATCACATATTGACTCTGCTGCAGGTGTTAGAACAGCGTCACACATAGCGCAGATCGATAATAACTGTGTTGCTCTACTTCAAGCGAGCATTCTACTCCATTCTGTTCTAAATACTTATGCGGAAAGATGTCCCCGTAAAATAATTGAACATATTCCCTCTCCTTTACTCGATCACGACAGGCCACGTATATGTCTACAGTAACTTGTCAACTATCTTTCCAACAAGTGACGACGGTCGCGGTTGTCTATATTCCCTATTTCCGTTCATCCTCATCTTGGACTGTATAAAGGAGCGTTCCCTTGTGGAATCTCACAGTGCAGGCGGGGAGGTGCGGACAATATTGTCTGAATAACCTCTCTATAGTGGTTTCATCGTTTTGTATACTTTCCACAGTCGGCCGGTGGCCGAGTGGTCTGCACGTTTGGTTTGCAACCATAAGGTCACCGGTTCGAATCCGCGTAGGGGTGGGCGTCCTCGCGGTATACTCAGCCCGCGCGCGACTGGTGGTGGTCGCGCGGCAGCGTAGCGCCGTTATGGCGTACAGCTGACACATTTCTTATTATTTATACTTTCCACACCTGCAAAATGCAGTATTGTTGCGGGTCCACCAGTCACTTGATGACATCTTGACTCGTTAGCAAAGAACTCGAAGTAGTTGATCAATTCTCTTACCGTACTAGCCGCATCAGCAACAGTGGACACATAACTACTGCAAAAGCTAGGAGGGCTTTCTTGAACCTACGACATTTATCGTTAGAAATAGGTTTTCCTTGGTCTGTAGGACAATGCATAGAAGGCCACAGGGTGGGCCGTCCTACTCTATGGTAGTGTGACTTGGCTCCTTCGAGTTCATGATCTGAGGCGCCTTCAAGTCTTTGATCATCGTTGTGTGTGTGTGTGTGTCGAATGACACCAGCGTGTTCGCAACGATGATATGGGTAGGCGAGTAGTAGGCAGTGATAACTAGACTGGTTCCTTAGAACAGCAGTCAGCAATGAATAAGTTACGTTGGCTTGGGCGCATACTAAGTGTGCCCGATCACTGCTTACCGTGGAGAACCTGGTTTTGTTTACCATATGTAGGGTGGCACAAGGCTCGAGGGGGACAAAAGTTGACTTGGTATTGGGAAATGTAGTCACTGACTACAAGACTGGGTACTGTTCGTTTGTGTCGTCTTCCAGGTTGGAGTCAACGCGACATGCCTTGTGCTTGGATCGAGACGTTAGAGAACATGGCTTGCAGTCGGTACCAGTGGCGCGTCTTTTGCTGTCTTCTGGTTATTTGTGGAGCAACGGCGGATTATGACGCCGGATAATATAAGCCACAAGGAAGAGGTCCCGTAGATGACGTTTTATTTTGTACGATAATCATCTCTTTGGCATGATGTGTTACTGACCTGAATGTTTTCTTAGGGCATTAGGATTTTATGCTACATTTCTCTTTTCTGCCTCATTATTCTTCCTTCTGTAGATGCTTGTCTTTGCATGACAGCAAAGCATCAGTCCCGCTGGGTGATGCTCTTGATGATGATGATGACATTTAGCGTTTTCTGGATTCGTCAGTCGTGCACATTCTATCTGCTCCCTATGACAAGTCAGAATCGACCACTGCTGTTGCGAGTCAGTTGCCGACTCACACGCAGTATCTGCGGGTATGGTTGCTTGTCTGGTTGTGGTATAACTGATCTCATTTTCCACTTACTTGAGCATTACTGTTTTTCGATACGCGATGTTCTTTCCTCCGGACAACAGTTACCCAAACCGTGCGTTTTGTGGCGACTTGTTTCTTAACCATCTCGGCTTTTGCCATCGCCCGTGGTCCGGTGGTCTTAATCACTCCCTCGTAGAAGTGCAAAATCTCGCTTTCTCACCCAACACGGAACGTGCATTGCTTACGACGAATTCCGAGGGGACGAAACCGCAATCCAGCACCGATGTCCATGACGGTCTGAATGAGTTCCTCTAACAATTAGAGAAAAGAAGTTGACCGAACTTCGTTGGCGTCATGGTTGCAAGAACGACACTGATTATAGTCATCGGGTGGGAGTCTAGCGGATAAAATTTACTCTGGGCACCATGACACCCTTCACTAGCCCCACGTTCCATCTCGAACAGAATTGCTAATCACCGGTCTGGCCCTTCCGTTGGCCTGCGCCCGCCGAACTCAGTCTTTTTTTGTCTCGGTGCGGTGTCATTGTTTCACGAAAGGTTGTGCAGTATTGGCAAACGACACACCAAGGTACCTAGTCAGCAGGCCTACGAGGTACACCATCTAACCAACCTGGGCGGTTCAAGTTCAACAGACAACGCAGTGTTTCAACACAGAGGTTCGATTGCCAAATTCCGGCTAATGGACGACACTGTTACTCAGTGTGCGTGACCGGGTCAGGTATGTGCCGCGCATTGTGAACACCTGTGGTCACAGACAAGCATACTGTAGACGATCTTAACACACACAGTCGATTCTAAGTGGTGCAACGACGGACACCTTACGTTTAACTGATGCACTGCAGCCATAACTTTTGTGGGTTCCTAAGCCTAGCAATGTCACACTGATTTCATCGCTGCACACGATGACCTTATTGCGTTACTTGGCCATCAAACGTGGGCCGACTACTCATGCATCAGCTTTGGTCGCTTTGTTACTTACTTATTACTATTCACATACTCTCAGACTCTCAAACTACACTTGTCTAACACCAGGAATCCATAGTCTTCTCTGTACTCTTGTGCATACACTTTGTTCTCATCCAGTTCTTATCACCCTCGCCATCGGTACGGAACGGCTTACTTGTCCTTGGACTTAGCGCATATCCCACTCATAGTATAGCGCGATGCGATCTTTGCATGTACATCGCTACCGTTCTTGGTGTGTACCGCCGTCAGGTTGCCCCACATCTCACTTCGCCACACTAGTTGTGTGCACACTTTCGCACTCTGTGTTTGTGTGCTATATCCGGGTGTTGGTTTGGGGTTGCATTATCGGCATAAACTTCTAATGTTTTTAAAGGCACAATAGTGTGCGAACCCTCTTCGACATTCCATACAGTATGGCGGATCTCCAATTTGGCCAGTTGTATTTCAGCCAATTGTGTGAACATAGATTAGTAATGGCCCATTTACTGTATTGCCATAACAAATAAGCTGAGTTCGATTCCGGTTATTGCAACCACGTGACCTTAACTTCAGCCAAAGCAACGCAGCGCTACCTCGGCTTCGTACTACAGGTACCACTTGCATCGCTACGCTGGACTACGTCTTGAGTTGTGGATGCGTCTCTTCCCCTGGGCTTCCGATTAGGCTATTGATTTGTTTTACGGTAGACGGCGGTTTCTTCGACCTTTCGAGCTATATCCGAATTAGGGTTGTTATTGTTATTGATTCCGGCACCTTTGAACTCACTGATCGGTTTCGTCAGATGACGTTCGTTCAACCGAAGCCTCATCAAGCCGGTTTTAACGTCTAGTCGCTATTCCCCACGCGCAGTGTTTTTGATGGTGGTTATAGATTTTTTTAACAACTAACTGAATTTGTACTGGCGTAACCTGTCATCGTTAGCCGATGCGAACCGGACGCTCTTACTATCCTCCAGCATCGCGTTTAAATCCGGCTTCCGGGACTCGATATGCGTTCCGCTGTCCACTACGCTCATAACAATCGAACCAATCTGACCATTGGCTGCTACCTTATTTTGCCGAGCGGATTATAGCCCGCGGAACCGCTCTCCAATAATTAGCCCCTAGTTGCTGTTATTATAAACTAATTTATCAGTGAACGTTGGAATGCAATGTCTTTGCTGTCATAAATCTCCCTCCTCCGAATCGACACTTTGCAGCCTAGTATAATCTGCATCGTCCTTATACTTTCAAAAGCTTGATAATTTCGAAACACATGCTTTTTCTGATTGCTGTATGGTTGAGATCGATTACAATCATGCGACCAGACGCGTTCTGTGGTTCGCTCAATTGACTCTTAATTCGCTTTTGATCCTCGTCTTTCCTATGCGTCCCAGTGCCGATCGTCTTATGCTACATGCTTTTTGTCATGTTATCCACCATATATCGCAGCTCTTCAGTGTTTTATTTTCTCGAACAAACCGTCGCGTTAAACGGGCGTAACGCCCATTTTTCTTGAAGCGTACTAATTTACCGTCTTCAAACTTCGCTCTACATGTTCCCTCATAGCCACTTGTGTGTTTGTTATTCCGCGTTTAAATCGCTTCCTCCACCACAACTAGCTTACTCCCTCCAGCCCTGGTTGGGTGTGCTAGATACCATTCTCAGCTGTTTCGCATGTTCAGATGCTGATCTGACCTTCCATTTTTTACAGAGCAACCCACGGTTTGTCCAGCTTAACGATACCAGCTTCGGATTCAAAACCAGACATTGTGAGTGCCCTATTCGTTCGTTTTTTTTGCATTGCAGTGCACTGTCATATTTGTACATACCATATGTGATTCATTCCCGTTTTTTGTCATTCCGGCTCGTTGAGTGTCAATCCCATATGAGGAGGACATAACTGTCCTAATCCAATGGGAACCATGATCATTACTCTAATCGATGCGTACACTTGATGCAGCACGACCTGGCCATATTCATGCCGTGACCACATTTGTCTCAATTTACATGGTTTTGAGAATTAACTGCGACGGGAGCAAAAGGTATGAAAGTCCAAGGAATTAGACTAAAGGTTCTGTTGTATTTACCAGATAATTAAAACATCTATTTCTCAACTATACGTACCCGATGGCTGAGAGGTATAACTGCCGGATGTAGAGAACCAAATTCTTAAGCTCTTTCTTGCTTCAACTTGGTCGTCCAGAGAGACTACAAGCACTCATTTCATAATACAGCGCTTCTCGTCGACTCCCAACTGTAAGCTGTATGCGGAGCTTCCTATTCATTTGGGTATATTAATCCCATCGTTTGATATTCGAGTTCAATTTCAGGGTATCAGGGTATTGTTCTTTTTTCTGCTGTACAGGTAGCAACTCATCATATCTAAACTCAGTCAGACAGGTGTCACCCGCACAGAAAAGCACTGTGTGGTCGTTTCGTCCTTTCCCTCGGACCCCTGTGGTGCTCGAATCTACAACTTTACTGTTGCTGGGCTGTGATTGAGACCACTGAGCTACGGCGGATGGCAACATTTATCGTGACTTAGTTACTAGATGTGATCTAGTGCCGCTCATTGACTTACACGTTACTGCCACGTAGAGGACAGCAGTCCCCTCACCAAGCCGTAGAATCGATCGAATTTCATGTGAAAGTAAATCATGATCGAGATTTAGGTCGCATATCGCATTCTGTTCAGCCAACGGATATTCGAAAATCTAACGTTTACTTCAATCTGACCGTTGGCCGCGTTGTACCCATTAGGGACAGTCCAATTGGGCGAACAGCTTCTCAACTCTTTCCTCACGTCTTTATCGTTAGGGCGCCTTTTTGGAGACACCGGGCACGCACTGACACCATATTTGTACATCTTCGGACTTTATGGAAGACGCCGTGTGTTCGGATCATCTCAAATCAATGGCGATTCGGAATAAACGCAACGGATATGTAGTCCATCGCAACTTACAGCCATTACTTAGCTTGGATGGAGGAAGAGTTTTTGTTAATAGCCACCAGTAATGGTCGTTATAGCTGAAAGGTATGGAAACGTTCATCTGGAATGGAATGACTATAGCGGTATCGTAACGATTGCTTCTATCTGTCTGGAATGCATCAGCCCTGCTTGTTTTTCTACATTGGTTGATAGATAGGGATCCTCGCGTTGAATTGAGATACTTAACATCGTCTCATACTAACCTTTGTTTCAGATCTTAGACGTCCACCAGCAGGAGGTGTAAGACAGACGACTCTATGTGGGCGACCTCTGAGAAAGAACTCAAGAAAGCGATACTCATCACATCAATGACTTAGGCGCCTGACTTCAACTGGGATCCGATATTGATGCAACGGTTCTGAACGAACAGGTGCAGCCTCATTGTTCATGGGTAGTGGCAACCATCATGTGGGTTTTCTGTCGTCTAGCTCATTGAGATGATGATCTCATCTACTGGATGCTACCAGCCGAGCTACGCTTTTGCATTAGGGTCTTACTAACTTTGGCTATTTCACTACCGTTACATACTCCTTAACCAATACACGTGGGTGGGATACTCTTTGCTAAGTTAGTCCATATGGTACTCGACCTCAGGACCCCATTGATCGCTAATCTGACGTGCCAAACAACGGACGCACTGTTTACAAGTAAGGTAGCGACCGGTTTCGTTGCTCAGGTCCTCTCAATTAGTTCATTTCACTTAAGGATTTATGATCCAGACACTAAAGTGCATTGCATCTATTCGGCACGATTCGCATCGCCAGCATTCTAGTAAATAACTTTGCTGAGGAAAATGCAGGTGCAACACCATGAAAAACGTCGACCAAAGTTGGATAAGATTAATCGGGATGCAATGTCAATAAGTAATCGCAAGAGACCGAATGTGGAGGCGCCTCTGCGCCACTTAACTGTGTCCGATACGGCGTTCAGATTCCCTTGTTGCGATGATCGACTACTGTATCGGAGACAACCAGCCAGTCTACGCTTCTGTATTGATACGTTACTCATTTTAACTATCTCATTGTTTTCATGCAAACCCCAACTGATGGGATGATGTCCAATAGTGGCTTTGATCTCTGTGGATTGGAGCTATTATACACCAGCTCTGTGGGCTAGCCAGAGCGACCACTGAAAGTGGTCGAATCGTTTGCATTTTTCACCACATTCGGTCTCTTTGTTTGCATGGTTGTAGCTGTTTACGTGGTGGCTGGAAACTTGTGTCGACTTGCAGAGTGCTGTGTGAATGTGACTTTCATATGTTTAGGTGAACAATGCCCTGGAGGCCATGTGATCAATTCCGTTTGACTCAGGCCCACTCCATGGCTCTCCAACCGAGGTACGACGTACAGGCAGCTACTGACTGACACGACCCATGTAGTCTGCTCGACACAGCCTTGATCTAACCATGTCAGGTCATTGAATGCAGTGAGGTATGAATCTCTCTGCTCACGTCTGTGATGTTACTGCGCGGGTGTTCCGAGAAGGCCACTTATATGCTCCCAACAGTAAATCCCGAACAGCCGGGTTTTTATCTTTCATATGCTCTTCTTCTCTGTTGGCCACTTCACGTTCACAAAGGTGCTTTTGGATTCCAGTTTCGCTGTCGTTATATCATGAACCGTAAACACGCCCAATTGCTCTTCTCCTCCGTAGATCGATTGCTGGCTACTTTTGGTATGTTTTTCCACCTAAGTTGTCGTATACTGCAGTCGCTTGAACTAACGTCACGTGCATATTTGTTACCCACTGTCGGTCGAAATTGCTATTCGACGAATTTCCGTCCAAACCAGTGCATTGGTGCAGCCAGAGATCCTGATTGTATACAGCCAGTAATATATAAATTGTTAATAGTGGGGTGAGATGAGAAAGACTGTTAGTATACTAGCAAAAGCCCAATCTGGTCGTTATCAGACGGAAATGTACCCAACAGCGTGTCTTAGAGTGGACTGATGACATTCCTAAAGAGCTGGGATATACAAGCTGGAACGGACCGACGCTATTGGGGGAACACAAACGTGAGGTTATAACACATTCGATGAACGAGCACATGGACCTCCCGATCATGATTATCATCAAAAGCAGTACATCAGCCATTGTTGCACTGATGCTTCGCTGCAACGCACTACAATGACCTAAGGAACGAAGAATAATACTACGGAGAGCAGGGAACTTAGCGTAAAATTTGAATGCCCAAAGCAAACACTCAGTGTCAAGTATCTGTGGTAAAGCTTTTAGGCGATCGGAATCATGGTAGAATAAGAAAACAGCATAGGAAAAGAGAACATGCATCTATTTTGTCTGGTTTTTCACTCAGCTTTTAAGTCTTTTTCATTAGTTTGTTTTCTTGGGAAAGGGAAGGGAAATCACCGCAACATGTAGAGATACATGTTCACCATTGACGTCGGTCTCGAGTCATGACTTCCAGGGTCTCTAACCAGCGACAGTGAACCACTGAAATCCTAGCCAGGGAATCACAACCAACCGACCAGGACCAACTGTTTCGTCAGCCTTTTAATGTGGCTTCTCCAAGTTATAGGTTGTCCACCGTGCCATCTCCACCCCTGTCCAGCAACCGCGAACAACGCCCGACGCGAAAGACTGAGCGGGAATTCGCAGTACATGTCCAAGCCACCACAACTGATGCAGCAAGACTAGCTCCTCGAGCGAGTGGCTGCCTCCATCCGAGACACACTATCCAACTTCAGCGTTAGTTACGTGGTGCAGGCACCGCACACGGGCAATGGACCACAAGCAACTGTGTTAGGAGACAGGCAGACGATGTGGTTCAACGATACGAACAGGCCAACTTTCGCAAGCGCGGACAGTCACACAATGAAGCCGCTCTTTGATGGAAAGACGGATGTCATGACGGCGCCACAAGTGTAACAGCTTAAAGGAATCTGGGCGAGCTCTTGAGATACGCATCGAAATATCGTGTCCACCGGCAGTGATGCAGGTTCCAAGGTAGGCAAAACTCTCCGTAACCTCCATTGTTTCACCACCAGAAGTGAGTGCATGTACAGGCATCTGAAAGTCTTGAAAAAGTGTTTCGCACTTGCATGGGGTAAAAACCATCCCATGCTTTGACGATTTAATCGCTAAACGGCTTGTGGACCATCACCCAGCAATGCGATGTCATTAGCCTAGCCCAAGTCCATAACTCGGCTGCTTAGTAAGAGCTCAACACCTGCGCTCAACGAATCTTTTAGAGCATTTTGTGGACATCCTCAATGGTGAAATTGAAAAGGAATTGGGCGATAGGACATCCATGTCTAACTCCACTAGTGACAACAAAGGAAAGCGAAAGCTTGCCATAAGCCCTAACTCTACCCGAGGTCAGACTGTACATAGCACGCAGTACGGAAACGAACTTTCTGGCGACCCCATCCCTCAATTGACAGTACCACAACGTAGTCCTGTTGACAGAATCGAAGGTAGCACGGATATCCAGGAACACATCAATTGTTGGCTTTTGGTACACCTGGCATAGCTCTGGCATCTGGCGGAGTGTGAAAATTTGATCGATGCAGCCGCTATCAGGGCGGAACGAAGCCTGTTCTTCCCGCTGTAGTGATTCGTGCAATGAGGATAGCCTGCGAATTATGATGGACACCAACATCTTGCAAACAACAAGAACCAAGCGGATACCCCCCGTAGTTGTGGCACATTGTGCGCAGGCCGTTTTTAGAGGTGGGGACGACTATCAACTCACCCCAAGATGATGGAACCTCCTCTTTCAACCAGATTTTTGAGAAAAAGCAGTGATTTTCGAATCAGCGA